TGTACAAATATCTTCCAATAACTCGGACTGAACAAACCGAAAGCAAGTGGAGATTATGTGTTCCTGAAAACAACGTCAACGCATAATAGAAGAAAACCATAATGAAGCACATGCTGGACATTTTGGCATAAGGAAAACTATCAAATGAGTGCAGAGTCGTTATTACTAGCCTGGGATGGCCAAGGATATCGCTAATTACGTTAAACGATGTGACTTATGTCAAAAATATAAACCTATGATGAATAAACCAGCGGGAATGATGCTTACCACAATAGCCGAAAAACCTTTCACCACCATCACCGCTGACTTTGTAGGTCCATTACCTCGGTCAAGGAGTAGTAACACAATGCTACTCGTTATATTGGATAAATTTTCCAAATGGGTGGAACTGATCCCTATGCGAAGAGCTACCAGCGAGAATACAATAAAAGCCATCAGAGAAAGAATATTATGTAGATTTGGAGCTCCGAAACATATTATCACCGATAATGGCCCTCAATTCACCAGTAACCTGTTTAAGGAATGGTTGTCCAAAATGGGTATTAAGCATCAACTTACAGCACCGTATACTCCGCAAGAAAACCCCACAGAACGTGCCAATCGGACCATTAAAACAATGATAGCCCAGATGACACAAGGAGAACACAGACGTTGGGACGAAATGTTACCTGAAGTAACATTGGCTTTCAACACGTCAGTATCAGATTCAACCAAATACAGCCCAGCGTACCTAGTACAAGGACGTGAGCCAAGATTACCTGCGACACTCTTTGATGAATGTACAATAGGTACTGGTACAACAACTACAACACCCCTAAGGAGAGCAGATAAGCTTCAGGAGATTTTTCACAAAGTTCGACAAAATTTACAAGCAGCAGCCACTATCCAAGCTAAGTATTATAACCAGAAACGAAGGAGGTGGAAGCCTAGAATCGATCAATTCGTATTAGTCAAACAGCATCCGCTGTCTAAAGCGGCAACCGATTTTTCAGCAAAATTAGCTCCAAAATTCAAAGGTCCATATCAAGTGAAAACATTTATATCTCCAGTTATAGTTAGCCTGAAAGCCGTCGGAATGGACAAAATAATAACAGCCCATATTTCAGACTTGAAAATATATTACGGAAATAGAAAAAAAATTTCGAACTAAATAATAACAAATATATGTCAATGTTCAAAATACTGACTGTAGGGTGTACTATAAACATTTAAACTTTTAAAGGATAACGACATTAACGGATTCAAAATTTGACGATAAAACAATACAATACCGACATACCATCAAGTATATAAAGGAACATTCTCTAATGCTACAATGAGTTATAAGTCGTAATACGTACCACCAGCATGAGTCAGCAATCAACGAAATTTGACATATCACTTGTAAAATTTCGACAACGTTTCGAGCAGCTACAGAAACAGAGACCACAAACAAAATATGTACCCACGGTTGAGCACAAAGTGCGAGTTAAAAGCGAAATACACAAAGTGGCGGATAGGACAAAAATTAAAATTAGCAAGAAGCAAACTAAAAGAAAAACGCAAGTTAATGGTGGCGTAAATAAAAGCAGCAAAGTCTTACCAAAAATAACGCCGGCAGATCGGGTCAATAGCTCCAGAGCCACTGGATGGCGACGGCATAAAGTCGATACAATTCACAAAGACGTCCAAACACCAAGTACTAAAACTACCTCCAAAGCAACGGAAAATGCCATCACCAATAATCCATCCCCACAGCAAACAAGAGGAATCGTGTGGGAACCAGTCAAAACACCCGCCCACGATATGTATGATGATATTATTGATTTAGATTGTAACTGGCGTCAACTGGAAGAACTGATGGAATGTCAAAAATTACCACAGCAAAACAGTACAGGTGAACCACGGTTGCGTATGTTACCTAGTACGTCAACTCTACAAACAACTATGAGTGATGCTAATACGTCATTGAAAAGAGAGTCAGCGTGTGTAAAACGACCAATTGAACTAGAAACAGCCATATAGGAGGCGAAAGCAAAGCATCGGCATGGTAAACGGATTTCTTTCCGCCGGACGATCAACAACATTGTATATCAGGCACGGATAAAACGCCAAGGTGATATAACAGTACAGGTCATCAGGTAAATCAATGACATCACTTTCCCGAAGACGGAGGGAGATGTAAAGACGGAAATTGGTACCCAATTTCCGTATACATAATCGATCCCAACACCATTAAAACATATATTAACATGAAGCTCACTGGAAATTATATAAAGATCTGAAATTGAAATTTGAATTAACTAAACGAATTTGTATATTATATTGATTTCATATTTACTTTAGTTGTTGTTTGTTTTCCAAACACGCATAAATAGAAAACTAATAAAATTAAAGTCACTATAAAACACCAAGTAAATGAATTCATGTATTGTATTTTATTGAATTACTTTAGTTATTAACTTATTTTAACTAATCAAATGAATTCAGATATTACATTTTTTATTAATTACTTTATTTATTAATTTATTTACAAACACGCATAAAAATAAAATTAATAAAATGAAATAAATATAAACGTCATCGATCGAATGCGTTTCTTTAAAACCCACGTTGGTAAACAAAACAAGATATGTCAAAAGAAATTTTCGCCGCAAAGAGAAATCTAAGAGAAAACGAAGTATACATTCTGAGTACCGCACACAAGATGAAACAAAAAACTACAGAACGGCAAAGTAAACAAGAAATGTGTGAGACCAGCTGTAAACAAAAATGATGCGCTACGAAAAAGCTCGGTCGAGTGCGTATATAAGATGCGCATTTTTCTTATAGAGTTGACTTGTAAAATATTTACTAAGGCACATACACCTGGGGATTACAAGTTGAAATTAGCACTAGTTGCACATAGAAGAATTTCGATATAAAGAAATTATTCATACGAAGGAATATTTAATTTAAATTATTTCACTACGATCGGCTGTAGTACGCCTACTGTAAAGAAATAATTTATAATAATATACAAAGGAATATATCCACATCAGGATATATTCATACGAAGGAATATTTTGAATTTAAATTATTACACTACGATCGGCTGTAGTACGCCAACTGTAAAGAAACAATTTATAATAATATACAAAGGAATATATCCACATCAAGATATATACATACGAAGGAATATTTTGAATTTAAATTATTACACTACGATCGGCTGTAGTACGCCTACTGTAAAGAAATAATTTATAATAATATACAAAGGAATATATCTACATCAGGATATATTCATACGAAGGAATATTTTGAATTTAAATTATTACACTACGATCGGCTGTAGTACGCCTACTGTAAGTGAATAATTTATAATAATATACAAAGGAATATATCTACATCAGGATATATTCATACGAAGGAATATCTTGAATTTGTAATAATATACAAAGGAATATATCCACATCAGGATATATTCATACGAAGGAATACTTTTGAATTTTAATCATTACACTACGATCGGCTGTCACACGAAGACATCATCAGTACCAGATCTCCACCAGGACATCCAAAACAATTATTGTACTCCGGGACAATTAGTAATCATCCTAATAATATCATTTTTTTCATTTAACTATTTCATTATTATATTTTTTTTTGAATTATAAAATTTTATTTATAATAAAGCCTAAATCTTGTAAATAAAATCACGTATTTGAATATTTTGGTTACAATTAAAATATTTATTGTAACGAATCTGGACAGGCTGAGTATACCCCAGCAAATAAGCAACGACATCAAGAAAGGGTCGTTACAAACGAGTGCAACGACGTTCACAGCAATTTTTGCTGATGATACTGCAGTCCTTGCAGTTGGAGAAAGCGGAGTAATAGCAGCTAATAATTTGCAAAATAGTATGGACAGTATAATTGCTTGGACAAATAAATGGAAAATCAATCTGAATAAAGCATGTAAATTTCACAAATCGAAACATCAGTCATATACCTGTCTACATCGATGAAGCACAAGTCCCTCACGCGAATACTGCGAAATACTTGGGTATGACTTTGGACGCTAAACTAAGATGGAGCGAGCACATAAAAAAGAAAAGAAGTGAATTAGATCTAAAATTCAAATCGTTGAAATGGTTAATCGGTAAAAAATCAAAACTATCGCTTTTCAATAAACTTGTATTATACAAACAAATGCTCCAGCCAATCTGGACATATGGAATACAGCTATGGGGTTGCGCAAGCAGAACACAAATTTCCATCATTCAAAGATTCCAAAATTTCATGCTACTAAGTGTAACAAACGCGCCATGGTACGTGAGAAATTCTGACTTACATCGTGACCTCGGCGTGTCAACAGTACAGGAAGAAATTCATACCAAAGCCAAATCACACCAAGATAGACTTAGTTATCACATAAATGCTGAGGCGCATTTAGTAGCGACAAGCTAATGAGCTAATACGCCGTCTAAAGCACCAAAAGCCGTGCGATCTTTGGGCTTAAATCATTGAAATGCACTACAGTTAATTTATTATTGCATGGAATCGCCTAATCTGTTTAAATTTAAATTGCTTGTTAGTTATCTAATAACTAGTTGCTTTATGTCTAGTTTTGTTTTATTTATTGTTCTTTAATACCATATATAATAAAAAATTTAAAAAAAAAAAAAAAAAAAAAAAAAAAAAAAAATAATTGGATCAGATTTGATACCTGAGATTTCACAAACAAAGATTCGAAAAATCAATGGAATGATCTTGCAAGGGACATCTTTGGGATGAATAATTTCAGGAAATATAGAACGTACAGCAGCCAAAAATATAACAACAGCAAGTGCTACAGTAGATATAGCAGATCTAGAACGATTTTGGGAAATCGAAGAAGAAGCAGAAGACATCAGCAAAGAAAATGAACGATGTGAAGAGCACTTCAAAGCAAATACTAAACGAACTGAAGATGGATAATTTACTGTAGCAATTCCTTTCAAAGATGATAAACAACTAGGCAACTCCAGGAAATTAGCAATGGCAAGATTATTAAGTATGGAAAGAAAATTTATTCAAAATCCATCTCTAAAAGAAGAATACTCCAAATTTATGAAAGAGTATCTCAATTTAGGCCATATGAAACCAGCAAATTCGTTCAATAACACGACTAAACTTAGAGTAGTTTTCGACGCATCAGCCAAAACATCAAATGGTAAAAGTCTGAACGACATAATGATGGTTGGTCCCCGCTTACAGAGAGACATATTTGAAATAATTGCTAAATGGAGAAAATGGCAATTTGTTCTAGCTGCAGACGTGGAAAAAATGTATAGGCAGATAAAAATTTCTAAAAAAGTCCAGGAGTACCAACATGTTCTTTGGATGGAAGAACCATCGCATCCAATTAAAGAATATAAATTAACAACTGTAACTTATGGTACAGCGTCAGCACCATTTTTAGCGGTAAGAGCATTGCAAAAAATGGCACTTGATTCAAAGCTGAATTATCGGATACAGGAAATAATTGAAAATGATTTCTACATGACGATTTACTAACAGGAGGCGCTTCAATTGAGAACTACAATAAAATATGTAAGAATTTACAAGAGCACCTACAAAAATATGGGTTTCACCTTAGGAAATGGCTTACCAATAATAAAAAGGTAGCATTGCAATTTAACGCGAAGATCACTAATGATATAGTAAATATCAACGAAAATGAGGTAACTAAAACTTTAGGATTGCAGTGGGATCCTGCAACAGCCTGCTTTTAATTAAAATTAATGTAGATATAAATAAAATAGCAACAAAGCGGATAGTTCTGTCAACTATTGCAAAAATATTTGATCCGATGGGATGGCTAGCACCAATAATATTTGTGGCAAAATTATTAATTCAACAATTATGGCTAAATAATAAAAAATGGGGTGATCAATTAGAAGATGACGCGGCTAAAATTTGGTATAAATACATAGAACAGCTATCAATGATTGAGAAAATAAAGATACCACGTTGGATTGAGTCAATAAATGAAGCAAAATTGATTCTACACGGATTTGCAGACGCTTCAGATAAGGTATATGTAGCTGTCTTGTATGCAGTCGTTAATGGAATAACTACTATCGTTGCAGCCAAAACAAAGGTTAACCCCATTAAAAACAGGACAACTATACCAAAATTGGAACTCTGTGCAGCACATCTTCTAGCAAAACTAATTGAAAAAATAAAACGAATCATAGATAATAAGGTCCAAATATATGCATGGAGTGATTCAAGAATCGTTCTAGCATGGATAAAAAATAATAAAAACAAAGACAAATTCATAAAGTCAAGAGTTGCTGATATTCAAAAATTGTTGCCTAACATTAACTGGAGATATATACGGACTACTGATGTTGCAGATGTTGCATCGAGAGGAATATATCCAGAAAAATTACAAAATCATGAATTGTGGTGGACTGGACCTACTTGACTACAAAAAACTGAAAATTGCTGGCCGGATGCGGAAAAAGAATCTAAAGAATACGATGAAGCATTAATTGCAACAATCAATTTTTCCTCAGATGCATTGTATATGGCATTGGAAAAAATATCTAATATTCATAAATTAAAAAGAGTAATAGCTTGTGTTATTAGAGCCGTTGGAAGAATGCGTAAAAAAAGATATCCTGAATATTTGACAATTGATGAACTAAAAACTGCAGAAACTCATATATTTAAGATACAACAAAAAATAGATTTTCCAGAAGAAATAAATTGTTTAAAGATAATGTATTTGTGTTTAAAGATTACTGCCCTTATCACCCTTTCTGAATCAAAATGGAATACTCAGAGTAGGAGGTAGAATACAAAACTCAAACCTTCCTTACGGAACAAAATACCCAATTATTTTGGACAAATCTCATCTGAGTGCATTAGTGATAGAAAATATACATAAACGCACTCTGCATGGAGGTGTTAACCAAATGAAAGCTGTCGTTCGTGAAGCATATTGGATAATCGGTCTTACAAACGCTGTTAAATAATGTATCAGGCAGTGCGTAAAATGCACTAGGTATCAATATAATCAAAAAAATCAAATTATGGGAATTCTACCAGATATTAGAGTACAACAAGCACATCCGTTTATGAATACTGGCGTAGATTATGCAGGACCATTTAAATTCAAATGCTTCAAAGGAAGAGGACTCAAGACATTCAAAGGTTATGTAGCAGTTTTTGTTTGTTTAGCAACAAAAGCAATTCATCTGGAAGCAGTTGGGGATTTGTCATTGGAGACATTTCTAGCAGCATTAAAAAGATTCTTCTCAAGGCGAGGAAAATCAAAAAATATCTATTCGGACAATGGAATAAACTTCGCTGGAGCAGCAAACATTCTAGGAAGGGACATAAAAGCAGCAGCAAAATCCAACAATAAACTTGCGCCAATCTTGGCTTCTGAAGGCGTTCAATGGCATTTTATTCCCCCGGCAGCCCCACGCTTCGGTGGAATTTGGGTGGCCGGAGTAAAATCGCTAAAATATCACTTAAAATGAGTTATTGGAGAAACCAATCTAACATATGAAAAAATGTCAACTTTATTGCATCAAATAGAAGCAGTACTCAATTCAAGACCTCTATATCAACAGAGTGACGGGGTTGGAGGTGATACAGTATTGACTCCCGCTCATTTTTTAATAGGAAGATCATTGTTAAGTGTCCCTGAACTAATTCCAGACTGTAGAATTGGTAATTTGGACCGATGGAGGTTTTTACAAAAATTAAGAATGGATTTTTGGAAAAAATGGAAAGAGGAATACTTGGTGACACTGCAACAATGCAATAAATGGCAGAAAACACAGGAAAATTATAAGGGACAAATAGTTATAGTTAGAAACGAATTGACTCATCCAGCAAAATGGCCAATGGGAAAAATAGAGGAAATACATTCTGGAACTGATGGAAAATTGAGAGTTGTGTCGATAAAAACCAAAGATGGCTACATAAAAAGACCAATAGTCAAGATTTGTCCACTAAGAATTGAAGAAAATATATCCGAAGTGGAATCAGAAAATGAGCATATGTCACACATAACAACAGCTTAACATAAGAAGAAGCCAGCAAAATTAAGAAAGGGTCACAACATCTTAATGTATTTCTTTCCGCTATTATGGTTGTCCACAGGCAACGCTGAAGTAATTCGGGGAGGATCAGTAAATGAACTTAGCTACAATACCTTCCTATATATGGACAAAATTGGAATAGTTGACCGCGTATCAACATCATGGAACTTAGTAGTTTACTATAATATGCAACCGTATTTTAAAGCAGTAGACCACATGAAATCTCTAATAATACGCTGCAAGGAAATATGTTTTAAGCTGAAATCATTCGAAGATCAATGCAAAACTACAGTGACCAACATGGGAAACAGAATTTCCGAACTAAAGGAAAATGATAAATTATTCAGTCATCGAAGCAGTAGTCGTAAAAAGAAAGCTCCTTTCGGATTCATTGGTTCTTTGTTTCATGTTTTGTTTGGACTGTTAGATGAAGATAACAGAGATATAATTGAAAATAATATGAGGAATGTTCTGTCAAATCATCATGATATAAACCATCTGATTAAGCAGCAAACTACAGTAGTGGAATCGACTGTTAATATTTTAAAGAAAACAACCAATTAAGTCAATGATCACTTTGAAAAAATGAACATCGAAGTAAATAACATCAAAGAGACACTTAAAGAACACTATATGATTTATCGAGAAACAATTAATTTCTTGGTGATGATCAAGAATTTAGAAAACTTTTTAGAAGAAGCTGAAAAAATTCAAACTCTAATTATTACATTGCTAATTGATGTCAGCCATGGGAAGATAAATACAAATCTGATAAAACCCTCCAAACTGGAGGAGGAAATCGGAAAAATTAAACAACATCTCAACGGGCGTTCTCAGTTACCAGGCAGGTCGACCAAAACAATGTTGCAGACAATTTATCAACTGATGATAACAACAGGAATCTTTGTAGATGAGAAACTAGAAAGAGCAAAAATTCCATTACTGGACATTAAATCTGGAACGATATTTAATATATTACCAGTTCAATTTATTAAAGGAACTAAATCGTTAGTACCGGTATTAAAAGAAGAATTCATTATTTATAACTACCTTTTGGATAGTTATCATCTTATGTCTCAGGCAGAATTGAACTTGTGCAAAAAAGACGAAAGCGATTACATATATGAGGGAAATTGGGCATGGAAGAATGCAAACGACAATTCTTGCGAATCGGCAACTTTAAAACTAGCTAACGCCTATAGATGTATTTACGATGTATATGGAATCAGAAGTCTGGATTGAATTAAAATTAAAATCTAGTTGGTTATACAGCTACAAAGAGAATACATCAGTCCATATATATTGTCTAAATAAGATGCAGGAAATACTACCATTGGGTAGGAAAGGAATACTATCACTCAACAAGGGTTGTACAGCAAGAATTGGCAGAACAACGCTTACGGCATCAACAAGAATAAATACTAATCTACAGGATGGCTTCAAAACGTATTTGTTAAAGGAAATAGATAACTCTACTGGTGAATTTATGCACCCAACGGACCATTATCTAATCAATCAGACAATGCAAATTAAGGAATTAGAAAATAAACTGCCCATTCTTAAAGAAGATAAGCTGCAACTCAGAGAACTTGAATGGCATCATATAAGTGCGCATACAGTACTAGGTATTTCATTAGTATTAACTATGGTTTTAGTAATATTATTGTATAAGCAATTTGGATATAAAAAGAAATCTGAAAAAATTAATGTAGTTTCTCGGCAGGAGATTCTGGCCCCTTGCAGAATGTTCAAATTTGAACATGTGTCTGCGCGCTAATTACCTAAGCAACATATTCAGTTATTTGGGTATTAAATATTTTAACATTTTATTTAATATTTTAGTATTTTATTTTATATTTTAGTAAATTAAATTAATTTCTAAGAAAGGTTTTTCAAAGCCTTAAAATATTTTGTTACCAAGGTTGTTTTAGACATTAAAATATGAAATGTAATAACAGGGATTAGTTAAAAATGTAAAATGTAACTAAAGGAAAAGGAAGTAATTAAATAAGGTAACAAAGAAAAAGGTTAAGGGACATTTCCTTTAACCTTGTACCTAAAAGAAAAACCTAATTAAACCTAATTATTAAACTATGTAAATTTTTTAATTTAAGAGCAAAAATTATAGAAAATAAACGAGTCTTATATTTATTGTAAAACCGAACAGACATGTGTTTTTAGTTGTAGTTTCTTACACACAAAGAGACCCAATATTGGAAGACAGTGCATGGAAATTATGGATACCAGCTGATATGCGAGGCGCACTAACGGAACGGGTGCATGCTTCACCATCCTCCGGACATGGTAGACATCATAAAACTTTAGCGAAACTAAGAGAAAAATGTTTCTGGCCAGGCATGGTAACGGATGTACAAACATTAATAAAGAAGTGCGAGGTATGTAATGCTTCTAAATCTTTAAGCAAGATTTGTAAGCCGCCAATGGGGGCACAAATGATAACAGAAATTTCATTCCAAAGATTGTATATAGACTTTATGGAGCCGTATTCCAGAACAAAAGCAGGAAACACAATGATTTTTGTATGCTTAGATCACTTTTCGAAGTATGTTTTCCTGAAACCCATGTCCACGGCGACAGCGTCCAAGGTATTTAGAAACTGAGGTATTTCATATGTTTGGAGTACCAGAATTTGTACACTCAAGACAATGGGAAACAATTTCAAGTCATTTTTAGAGAAATATGGTGTAAAACAAGTCAGAACGGCGTTATATTCACCGCAAGCGAATGCAACTGAGCGTGCCAACCAGTCCCTATTGCAAATGATAAAATCATATTTCAGTACTGATCAAAGGAAGTAGGAAGAATATGTCAGTAATGCTGCGTTTGTTCTAAGGAGTGTAAAGCACAGCTCAATTGAAATAGAGCCATGCCTTGCGGTGTTCGGTTTGAATATGATTCAACATGGTTCTGCATATGATGTTAATAGACAACTACAATTAATGTGTTCTGCTGAGGTTATGAACTTACAGCACAGTGATAAGCAACAATTGATAAGAGAAAGAACAAATGTTGAATTAGAGAATGCACACAAGAGCCGAGCCGAGAAGTTTTACAATACGCGGAGTAAACAGGTTCAATTCCAAGTGGGACAAATCGTTTATCGTGAGAACTTTAAACAAAGTAAACTGGCAGACGGCTATAACGCTAAATTAGCAAAGAAAATGTGAAAAGTGTGGTGTTAAAGTCAATAGGTAATTCGTTGTATGAGCTCGGCAACAGCCAAGGGAAAAAAGTAGGTGTCTTTCACTCCAAGGACATATTTAGTAGATAGTTTACCAGTTTGGTTGAATTAATAAATAGCATGTCACGACACAGTTTAAAAGTCAGACAAGAATACAATAAAGGCCCGGCTAAGTATATCGGTAGAGCTTGACAACCGTAGGGTGTGAATCGAGACCACACGTTGGGCATAAGACAAGTAACTAAATCTGGACTACAATTGCAACAAAGAGCCTACACAAGAATTTCTTTCGAGTGTGTTCCATGTTGCCAGCAACATCGATACCATCGATCCTGTTATGTAGGATTATTAATAAAAAAAAAAAATTTTTTCAAGACTTTACCTCGTACGTCCCGCGGTGTCCAGACAGTCCTAGAGCAGCACCTGCCGTTTCCACCATTGTTTCGGATATAAGCTGGCTGTTTATACACCAGTTTACATTTGATTTATTTCTAGGATAAAACACTTTTTATTAATTACTTAGCTTGCACCTATTGTTTTCAGTGTTTTATTATTAATCACTAATGTAGGAAATTTAGTACGGCATGTGCATTGCATGCGCATGCATAAAAATAATAAGTAATAGGCAAAAGCTTTTTCTTATTTTAACGTAGTTTATTTTGATTTATAAGATCGCGGCGAAAGCTCATACACATTACGAACCTGCAAGTTCTAGTACTGCCAATAGAGCAGAACAAATAAAATTAGGAGTTTTTATTTGTTTTTTTTTCGGAATGTAGAAAAAATCAAAACAAACGTTAGTAGTGGCAGTAGCAATCCACATCCACAATATGTCTACAGAGTTGAATGGCAGATCCTGTCTTCGCAATATTGTCCGCAGCCTCTTTTTCATTAATTCCTGTGTGACCAGGCTCTCAGAAAAGCATCACTTTGTTCTTGTTTGCCAATTACCGCAACGTATCATAGCAGTCTAACAGAAGCTTTAAGGAAAATTTTCCGGAGGATAATGGTTTAATTGCTGATTAATTTCTGAGTGAATACAGATATGAGCACCTTTCAACCTATTACTAAAGTTGATACAAACGCAAACCTCGATGGCGCGAACCTCCACTTGGAAGACAGTGGGAGCGAAATTTTTGTGATAGGATCAAATATCCCTGTATCAACTCGTTCTTTAGTTTTTGAACCGTTGGTGCTCTACAAAATCAGTTTTGGTTATACTCCAGCAAATCACGATGGCGTGAATTTCCGCTTGGAAGACAGTGAGAGCGAGATTTTTGTGATAGGACCAAATATGCCTTATCAACTCCTTCTTTAGTTTTTGAACCGTCGGTGCACCACAAAATCACTTTTGGTTATACTCCAGCAGTGCCATTTTCTCAATTCAATGGATCGGAAATGGAGACTTTAAATTTTCTGCCGAAGCAAAGTTCCATATTCATGCAATCTGCCCTATCGCATATCTCTATGTCAGGAACTAGTCTGCAGATGAACTTTGACTGTCAAGACTTTCGTGCATATTGATAACAGGGTATAGCCTAGCTGCAATCAAAGCTGATGTCTTTTTAATAAAGAGATGCAAAGGGATAAGACTTACTATGGACTCAAGTGTTGTTGTAGGACAGGTGCGAACTGTTTCCGTTATAAGTATACATGCAAGTTTACTGCATTTAAATATTACAGTATTTTGATGTGCCTTGTTCTATCAAACAAGAGCTACATATGGAATAAGTGAAAGGTATTAAAAAATTGTAATATTATAATTATTAAATTTTAAATA